TTTGGTCTAACTAGGAAAACCTAATAATAAGTTAAACAAGAAAATATCCACACCACCTCCGTTTCTTCCCCAAAAGTCGTACCCAATCTGAATTTCCGATCAGATTTATAAGTACTAGAGTCTTTTGCCACCGTCACGTAATAATTGTCTTCTCAACAAATCCAATACCTAATGCGAATTATGTCTGGAGTGTATCATATAGAGAGGTGGAGAGGGGTGTGACTGTGACACTGTGACTGTGTGAGAGAGAAGGAAAGATCCGCCGTAAACTAATCAGACAAGACAGCGTCGCCGCCAAACTCTAACTTTCATCTTTCACAGGATATCTGGATCCATAAAGTCACAACTTTTACGTTTACTGGTCCATTCAATTTATCGTGTCTTATGTCGCGTCCACGTGCGGTTGACAATAAATGACGTTACCTTATCATGACTCGATGGCCTTCTGTTATGAAAATAATAGATATAGCGTGCACATTAGCTACCCACTACGGAATAGCTTTCAATGAATTGAATCATTCAATTTAAAAAATTATCTTAGATTAGGCCTACAGTTCGCTTATAAAATACGACTAATTCGCAACACGCAGTGGATTGAATTTTATTTTACTAAGTTTTAACGTAATTTTATATTAAACACTATTGATAAGAGCCAATCCATTTATTGTTTTGATAAGCGATATCTTTGTTTAAAAATTAAATAAATAAAAAAACAGAAAACAGAGTGTAAAAAAATTACCTGGAGCCTATTTACGAATAATGTAGTGTGACTGCTCTAAAAAAATAGGTTTAGTGAATTTAAAGTCAACGAAGTAATCACTAAGAGAGACACAAATCAATCGTACGTTACATTTTATCGCGTCACGATTTATTGTAGTTTTCCGCGGAAAGAACCGACTAAGCGATTAATAACCGATTGGCAGCGCCACCGTCGCTAACGATCGGTGGCGAATAAATTCTAATGAAATATAAAAGACATTTGAGATTTATACGTTGAGGAGACAGGAAAAGACAGTAATTTTTCACCGGCAGATATGCGAAAACTGTGACAGTTCAGTGAGTCACTGTCGCTGATGTCGTTTTATGCGTCGCCATCGTTATCCTGATAGACGTAGCTATCGTTATCGCAGTTGCTGATTTAGGTAACTATCGTCATCCCTTATGCTGACAGACATATAACCAATGTTATCATTGATACTGATAGACGTGGCCATCGTCATCGTTGATACTAAAGACATAGCAATCGTTGTCGCTAATTGTGATAGATTGTCGTAATCATAGATTTTTATTTCAGCGTAGCAGTCGTTGTTGTTGATCCTGATAGACCTAGCTATCGTTATCGCAGTTGCTGATTTAGGTAACTATCACCATCCCTTCTGCTGATAGACTTATAATAATGATAATAATAATAATAATAAAACTTCTTTTATTTAAAGCGGTTTTCAGTAACAATACTGTTTTTCAAAACTACTCAAGTCAATACATACAAAAGAAATATTACAAAAACAATAAATGACTTATTAACTAACAATACCTTGTTGTCATTTAATGGTATTTTTAACAATACCAATGTTATCATTGATACTGATAGACGTGGCCATCGTCATCGTTTTAGGTAACTATCGTCATCCCTTCTGCTGATAGACTTATAACCAATGTTATCATTGATACTGATAGACGTGGCCATCGTCATCGTTGATACTAAAAGACATAGCAACGTTGTCGCTAATTGTGATAGATTGTCGTAATCATCGATTTTTATTTCAGCGTAGCAGTCGTTGTTGTTGATCCTGATACATGTAGCTATCGTTATCGCTATGCTGATATACGTAGATATCGTTATCGCTAATGCTAAAAAAAAACCTATCACTCGCCATCCAAGCGCAGACCATGATTCTCATTTAGCCAATCGTCTTCACTTCTATGTTTAGGTGGTTCTGATATCATCCATCATGTCACTGATGTCATCCGTGTGTGTATTTTTATAACACAAAATAATAGGTTGATGTGGTACCTATATTTCGCTTGACTTTATTCTGAAAAGGTTTTACTTTAAATGCCTAAACATCTCTATCATACTCAAATCATAAATCTTTTAAATCAAAATTAGTCTAATAAAATATTTCACCGATTCTTTGTTTCAAGTTCATTTTTAGGAACTATTCTATCACATAGTAAAAGACTAATTTTCACATACATATTTTGTTTTATTTTCATTTTTGTTTTAAATTAATACAAACTTACTGCCGTGGCTCCACAAATCTCAGTTGATTCTTCGTTTCGTATACCAGCCTCGTCCACCCTTCTCTGTCTTCTGCCAAGTTGACATTTTCACCCATCTCAACTTCGGCCTTCCCAATGGACATTTACCTCCAGGTGTGGCTCTCCAAACTTCATAAAGTCTTGTTCCTTTCTCTCTTCTTAGAACATGCCCTATCAAATCTTCCTTTAACCTTTGCAACAATATCTGGGTCTGTGTATAGTGATCTTAGCGCTCTATTTTTTCCTTTTTCTTCACATTTCTCCCTCCTGCACTCGTCCAAATATTTTTCTTAGAACTTTATTTTCAAACACCATGAGTCGTTTTTAATTTTTCTTGGACAATACCCATGTTTCACTACCATATAATAGAATAGGTTCAATTATTGTCATATATAACTGTATTTTGTTTCTGTGGGATAATTTATTTTCAATTAATAATGATGGAAAATAACGAGAATAGTCCTAAAATAGCATTTACTCCATCGTGTTCATAGTATCGCATTTCCTTCAACCATGGAAGTACTGCTAAATAAAATTTGATAGCAAGAGAACAGACTATTGTGTTTTAGAAGAAGTCTACAGTGATTCTCGACTAACGTTATCAATAAAGTAGCCACAACTCGCCGTTAAGTAGAGGTGGCAGTTAGTCGCGAAGCACTTAACCCAGAAAATGGCTCACTGGATTTTATCTGCTGGAAACCAATCGGAAAGTTTTCTTTTTAGAGTAGTTTTGGTGAAACGGCATATAAGCCCGGTCCAGTGTGGCGCCCACCACCATGATGACGTAGGCCTACAGCGCGCAGATGCATTGTCAAATCTTGCCTCACCGAGGCGCAAGTTATTTTCGTACTTTTTCAACCACCGACATAAAAGTTTGGCTTGTTATATGACTGTTGTAAATCCTCTGCTGACTTTTTGTCTTCAGTTGCACGGATTTTTATTGCAACTGGAAAATAATTGGATGATGTTTTTATTCAGTTTTGAATAAAGTAGTTTGTGGTAAATCATCAATGGAGTTGTTCAGATTTCGATTTAATTCTTCGTTTAACAGTCTTCGTGGTTTTGAAACCTAACATCGTTAACTTGTTTTATATTAAATTATTTATTATTTATTATTATATATTATTTATATTATTAAATCCATTATGGATTTGTAATGTTGCTTAAAAATTATTTAACGAAATGTATAAATTTCAACTACATGTACAACATATAAACTTCATGTTTACAAACTATTTTCCCTTTATGCAATCATCAGTAAAAATATGTGACTTTCTTTACTTATAAAACTTAAAAAGTTCTAATATTACTTTTTTATCTACCGAGTTATTTGAAAAAAATTATAATAAGAACACTGTTGAATTTCATATGAATTCAAGAGTTGTTCGAAGTCTTATTCTACTTGTAAAAAACTATTAAAACTCTCTTGATAAAAATAATGTATAATTTCACTACTGATGTTAATTATTAACATCGGTCATTTGATTGTTATCATAGTGTTACACAAGGGGACCGCCCCCGACCCCGATACCCCCTGTATCACTTCGACCTCTGGTAACCTATGATAATCCTAAACCTTAACGTCTCCTGATTACTATTTCGGTAACCTCTGTTATTTCACAACAGTGCGTTACAAAATTAAGTTTTCTAATTAGATTATTTAATGAATGCGTCAGTCCTACTCATCATACTTTTATCAGTTCGAGTGTTGCGAAAGTCCAACGGAAAATTTAAAAATGCATTCAGATAGTGACGTTGTTACTCGTACTTGATTGCATGTGTGTGAAAATGAAAGTGATTATTATATCATGCGGTATCTTAAAAGGTAGTATCTATAACTTAGGCATATGAACATAACTGAATTGAAACTGTCAAAACCGAATTGTATTTTTACTTAAAATTATATTGATATGTTCATCAGTAAAGGTAAGCCAGTATCTCAAAACCGAGCAAAGTAAATCAACAATCACACTATGAGGAATGGAAACATTTAAGACACGACGAGTCCATTTTTTCTGGAACATCTTGGAAACTTCAGCAAGTTGTACTTATAGCTGAAGAGTCCTTTATTGAGTGAAAGTCCATTTATTTCAGTTGAAACTTTAACTCGGCGAGGCTTCTTCCTAACAAGATATTTTATGTTTTATGGATTGACGAGAACCCAACTTAGAAAGTAATGGGTCTTGTATAGGCTACACTTCAGAAAGTTCGGTGGACGGTATGGCAAATATATTGCTTTGTGTAACATTCGTGACTTTCTATACAAATTTATGTTATAAAGCACTAAACGGCTGATGCTAAAATTTGATTTTGCGTACTATTCTTTTAGGATATTGACAATTAAACTTATATATTGTTGTGCAAAGTCCTTGGCCGCGTTGGGCTTAGATTTATTGTCAGGAATTAGAGTTTATCCACCATGAGAAAGTATAAGGACAGTTTTTCAATTAATTTATTTAAAGAAATGCAAACATTTAAACAGCTTAGTCGTTGTCGGTTCGATGGCAAAATTGTATCCATTAAAAGGACTAAAAACCCTGAAACTCTTCACCTATCAATATCAACTATGCGCACTGCCTATTAGTACACCTAAAAGTACAACAATCTAGTAGATTTGTCTATTTCTTTTACAAATCAAATATTGTCAGGTCAGGTTGGTCAAAGTCCTATGACACAATCGAGTACCAGCTGCAAGCCCTGGACCTACTGTATTCACAGCATCTTATGTATTGTTGCAGAACTCGATACGACACAACCTATCACTCCACAACCGCTTCATGAGGGTGCAGAACGAAGGCACGGGCAAGTCCTCCTGGTGGATGATCAACCCGGACGCCAAGCCTGGCAAGTCCGCCCGTCGCCGCGCCACCTCCATGGAGACGTCCAAGTTCGAGAGGAAGCGAGGGAGGGTCAAGAAGAAGGTGGAAGCTCTGAGGAACGGTCTAGACGCTACTCCTTCCCCTTCCTCGTCTATCTCTGAGAGCCTAGACCTGTTCCCGGAGTCTCCTCTACCCGGCTTTCAGCTGAGGTAACCACCATTCAACAATCTCATCATATCATTGTCGGGTTTACAGTTTACTGCTTGTAATCCCTATGGTAAAACTATAGATGGAATGTCTACTTCAGTATCCAACATATTCAATTGTAAAACATTAGCCAGTTTTCAAAATAGAACTACGGACAAAGTGCGCTGATAGCAATTGCTGATATATGACGAATACGCCAACTTTTTGACGAAGCCAAAACAGGAAGGATGATATATTTTAAACTATATAATTTTTTATGTCACATCAACTATGACAGTAACAAAAACTAATAGAGATAATCACGTATCTTGACTGTGGCACACTCGCGAATGGCTCAGTCAACAATGTTATACAGTGGATCATGGATGGGATGACATTTCAGTACAATAGAGTACCCACAGTCATAATTTGTGGCCTAGCCATCTATAGAAATCACGACTACAAATAAGTGTAATTCAAATGTTCTTTACAGACCGTATTCTAAAAACACGTTTACCCACCTGTTTCGTTTTATTTTTTTTTACAAAAATTATTTATTTTTAAACACTATTAGCTTCCCTGGCATGTGTCTTTCAACTTACCAATTCTTTGTCAGATTTCAGACGTTGAAATGGAATGTTTATATCTACTTGCATTGCTGGACATAAGATGATAGCTGTGTTCTCAAACAGCCTCAATTACACCGGCCCGTGATCTAAAATATGTATATCTTTTAATGACCTCGTATCATCACAGGTCTCTGCACCAACCAACACTTTTTTATGCTAACCAACGTATTTTTTTCTATGCTGTTAATTATTATTAGGTATGTATTTTCGACATTGGGGAGAAATATTGTGGATGTTTTAAGGGATACTCGTTAGAATTTATATTTCCGAAGCTGTAAATGTATGCTCTGTACACAGGACAAGAATCATAGGCGAATTGCGTATTTAAAATTAATCTATCTTGTCTATTCAGTTTGTAATATTCTGATAACGAAAGTATATCTAAACATTTCACTTTAATAGTAAAATACCCAATAGGTGAATGTGCTTAGCGGTTTAGCGGTTTTCCCGTACAGGGTACCTATCCCCTTATAGGTATTATCATATTAGGTCTAGTGCTAAGACCAAGGCCCTGAACAGATTTTTTTTTCATTTTTATTTAGATGTACGCACCTAAGTGTAAACAAATGTCAAGTGTTAAATAGACAAGCATACACAAACTTTGAATAATGTATTAAAGTTACTCTTAGAATAATTTCGTGTGATAGCTTCCACTGTCCACTGTTGATATTTTAACATATTAACAATAATTACCTCTGTAGATTAGACTTGACTGTCATTAACATATTAAATCTCTATAATGCTTTTAAATCACTTTAGAACTATAACGCAATACTTGTTAACAAGCTGATGCTAGAACAAACGCTTCAACTTTTGGCTTATAAACTTTATACTATACTATACTGTTGATTCACATTTCACTATCGCACTGTTGATTCTTCTCTCATACTAATACTAATAACATTGTATAGTTATTTGTTGTAGCATTTTCGTATCCTGTTTCGGCTCAAGTGTAATAGGCCTACAATGATACATGTTAGATAATTCGGAGCACTGTCGGAGTTCATTGTCCTTCCCTAAGATCTTGGAGTCAAGATTTATCGGAGGGGCGGCATTGATGCCTCGGAAGAGAACCGATTAAAAGGCCCGTTTTTTTGTGTAATGGCACGCGTCTGGGTCTGCGCGTGCCGTTTGGGTGTCGAATATTTTCTTTTTTTACGATTACGATTTTTTCACTCAAAACAAGATTGGTAGGGTTTAAATTTCACATACCTAGCCATCCTATATAAATTACGGGGTTTGTTCGGATAATGGTGTTTGTAACTTTCATCGCTTAGAATTGTTTGTTATAAACACATAACTGTTACACCTTTTTACATCTTTCGAGTTCAGACCTGGACTTGAGGTTAGTTTCTCTTTTGCTTCATGATTTTAACCATGTCGATTACCGTTTGTTAAATATTTTAATTAGTTTTAAAGCGTAAATCCAGCAACTTTTCATTACCATACAAGCAGTGTTGAGCTGTTTGCCTTTGTCACTCTCACAACTCACAGCTATGTTGTGTTTATTGTGTTGTTGCTAACACGTATGCTTGTGCTGACCCTATGTTTTGTCTGCAGGTCTGTCCATATGTGTAATATGTGGTACGCATCATCATTCATTACTATTACGTGTGCCGGTATGGTGTATGGTGTATGGTGTATGCTGTGTGTATGGTGAAGGTGTATGGTGTGTGTATTGTTGACAAAAGTGTGGAGAACTTCAGGTGGTGGTTGAGGAGGAATGCATTGATCTGTTGATATGGGGGGAACTATCATGCAACAGGGCTACAGTATCGGTAGACACCTCCTTATTATAAGGAGTCTACCTTACTATAATAGGTCAAATAACAATTACTTGGTCACGTTTTTCATATGCATAACAAGGTAAAACAATAATAATCAAATTCAATTAATTAAAACACCGAAACAAACAAAATAATATTCAATCGGTTTACTATTTCAAAACTAGCATCGTCATATCCTAATCACCTCTATAAAAATGTTTAGTTTTTATAATCACTAATGGATTTTCTTAATTTTTTAATTTCCCTTTATTAACTGTAACACAGTATTTGATGGTATGTAACACTTCAACCAGTAAATTGTATCACTCCCAGTTATGCGTTGTCATTATTAATTAACTGATCGCTATAACTAATTTTGGAATCACAATAAATATATCAGGCGTTCATCCTGATCATACAGTAGTCTGAAATATTACAACTATTATTTTGACGAGTCTTGTTGAATGACTTGCATGATAATATCGTGTGTATGGAGAGTTGGTTGGTGGTGGGTGTGCGTGTGTGTGTGTGTGTGTGTAAGACCAACGGTATTAGTATACTGTAGCTGCAGAACAATGTAGCGTAACATAATATACAGTAAACTATACGATCTTAGGTCGACATTTATATTGAAATATTGTATTGTAGTTTGAAGGTAATGTTTAGTAGATTTTACATAGTTCAGATTAGTGGTACAGTAAAGATAGATTTGTGGATTACAAAGGAAATATTAAGGTGGCCTCAGTTGTACTAAGTTTTGTCCATAAATATTCCTAGAGCCCGAATACTCTTTTTAAATCATTATGTATCATCATTTAAAATTTACTCGAATATTTACTTTATTAAATGCTGGATTAAAAATCATTAAAACATTATGCCAAAATGTAGGCTAGTAGATACTTGTTATACATCACATCATTACTTTTCATATTTTATGTCACAATGCAAATCAATCATTGGCACTCTAGTCTCCTCGCACTAACTATTAACTCTCCGCACTAATCCCATGTACAGTGCACTAACCTGTGGCGGAGAGGACAGAAGCAGTGTTTACTGTTGTACAGTTTTGTGTTTGTCCACAGCCCTGACTTCCGTACACGAGCGTCGTCCAACGCGTCGTCGTGTGGTCGTCTGTCGCCCATCCCCGCCCTGGAGCCGGACTGGACACCCTACTACGGTCCGGAGCAGCTGGCCGGCAACCTGGAGTCCACCATGAGGCTCGACCAGCCGCAGTTCATGTACCCTACACCTCCGCCGTACCACCCCCCCGCACCCGCGCCGGCCTTCTCGTCGTACCCGCCCTGTCCGCTGCACCGCGGCCAGCCGTGCAACTGCCAACACCACCCCACGGCTAAGCAGGTGAGCCGGTCAAAGTAGACTGACGGGAGATGACCGCGTCGTAGGATTGGCGGAGATAGTGACCGACCTGTCGGATATGTTGCAGCGCTCTATCCTTGGGTCAGACTACAATTGTACTAAAATTCTGCTGAATTGTTTGCCCCAATGATGGATTACTGTGAACCATCCGAACCGTTGGCCCCTATCTATATCGCAAATACAACGACGTGGTCCATCTTCAAAAAACCAACATTCGATATAGAGTCGAAGATTATAACCCCCAAAAAATATCAAAGCCTCTTGTTGTCTTTTTTCAGAGCATCTCGCCGTCGTATCCTCAGTCCCCCAGTCCCAGTCCCCCGGCCACCATGATGGGACAGCTGATGGGAGCTCTCAACCACCCCACGTTGCTGGACGACCTGAACCTCAACATCGAGACCATCCCCGGGGGCTTCGAATGTAACGTGGAGGAGGTCATCCGACACGAGCTGTCCATGGACGGCAACCTTGACTTCAACTTCTCCCAGCAGCAGCAGACGGCGCAGACTGCGGACCCCTACGCTGGCAGATCCTGGGTGCATTAGCGGTCAGTACTGCCATGTGTTAACGATTGCTGGAAATGTTGAAATTAGCCTATCTACTTTATGATGTTAAGAGTTGAGAGAGTGATTTGAGGAGTTGTAAGTAGCTCGCGTCTATTTCACCATAAATTCGTCTTCAAAAACTTTCTTTGTAAGAGTGAAACTAGATTACGTTCTACACCTATTTCTTTACATCTTTTAAAATTGTCCTTTAAACAATTTTTCTCTTTATTATTCCTATTATAAACACTTTTTTTTTGTCAGAAAAAAATACCAAAAGCACTAAGAATAAGAACATTATATTACACTATACGTTCAGTCACCGTATTGATTTTGTAACTATTGTACAGGGTGATTCTAAATTATTGTTACACTTTTTAAACTCTATACAACCTATCATCACGGGATGAGAATCAATTGAAAGAGAAGATTCTAAAGTTTTGTTTGACTCCACTTTGGTAAATATAGTTGTAAAATTAGCCTCTACAGATATTTTTAGATTTTAGTTACGATTTTAAATTAATTACAAAATTTAAAGTCAATGAAACTATAAGACACAGCAGACTTTTTGCTCTTTCGAGGTCATGTTCGTCGCAGCTTATAATCATGGTGAACTGGTGAACAACAATAACTGAGCGGTAAATTGTAGAACTAATTGATTTATAGTGGCATTAATTATAAAAAATGTTGATAATTTAACATAGATTTTGAAGTTTTGAGATTCAGAGAGTTAAAAGTGTGTATTTAATTTAAAATCGTGGTTAAAATATAAAAATGTCTGTAAAGGCTAATTTTGCAACTATATTTACCAAAGTGAAGCCAATCAAAACTTTAGAATCTTCTCTTTCAATTGATTCTCACCCTGGTTCTCACTATGGTTTTTCATTTATAGAGTTTTAAAAGTGTAACAATAATTAAGAATCACCCTGTATTTAAATTTGTAATAAAAATGAAATTTGTAACATGTTTGAAATTTTAAGTAGAGAAAAATCTGTTTCCACGAAAACGAACTAAATTTACTTTACATTTCGTACACGAATGCATTAACTATAGTTCCAAAAATTAAAGGGCTGATATTTTGTCTTAATCAGGACAAGACAGGACTTGTAAAAACGTCACGTCTTTTTAACAATGTCTGGACAAATTAGCGGCGGTTAGAGTGTAATTTCTTGACAACGGTGCCGGTGAGGGTTGGTGGAGGGGGGAGGTGTATAAAATTGTCTTTTTATTGCTCGGCTGTCAGTCAACCACTATTAATGTCTTCTCGACTCGTCTTCCCCTTTCTTCATCTCTTCATGTAAATGCTTATGAATTTATCATTTAGGATCCAACGTATTCCAGACATTAGCACAGCACCTTATTACAGCCTTCTTGTCACTTAATCTGTTTCTGGTTCTGCTTTTATTATTTTCTCCTTACGGCATATCTTTTACGACTTCTTAGTCTTACAACTCATTCTACATTGATGTTCACAAATGATATTCGTGGACGGAGATCGTTTTAGCGTGTAATAACAGTTTTGTACTCACTATTAAACTGTTTTGAGCCTTTTCATTTTAACCGAAGATATTATACCAATTGTCGTCCAACTTTTACTTTCTATTGATAAAAAAAGGATTACCTTATCCAACCACAGTTTCTGGTATGACAACTAGTTTGGTTCCTTAGAACATCGTCAGGTCATTGTATGCAACCACATCATCAATGTATTAATACATTGTGGTATGTCAAAAGATTCTTTAAAATTGTGTCAAAATCACAATAGTCAAAACTAGTCAGCAGTTTTATTTAGTCAGTGACAGTGATAGAACAATGATGGCCAGCATTTACAGTTTAAACAAGTTTTATCACGTTTTAGTGAATTTCCCATATAGGGAATAAGCTATTATCGTAGAACTCATAAAACAATATTTGAAAATCTGTATGCTAACCGCTATAGCTGTATGTTGTAGCTGTATGCTGTTGTTTGCTGTATGCTGTATGCCTACATAGTATATTGAGGCAGTATTGTTTTCGTCAAAATTTTCGAGTTAGAGTTTTGAGTGGATATACCCTTTTTGGGTCCCCCTGAACCCAAAAAAGGGGTTTTCGCGTCTGTCCGCGTGTATATGTGTGTCTGTCTGTCTGTATGCATGGATGTGTACAGCGAGCTACAGACCACACCCATAGACCGATTTTGATGAAATTTGGTATGTATGTATCATCAGGTGGTTTTTTCTGAAATTTTGTTTTAAATGGTAATTCATATAACAAACTTTTACATTTATAGATCTAACATTAGTGAGATAAGATAAAATGATGATCTTATAAACACACACTTAAGATTTATGTTTCGTTTTATGAAAAGTATTTCCACATTGGTCAGTTGTATGTAGTTTCCAGTTACACCTATACAATTGAGCTTATTTGTATTTATTAACATCAATATTTTTTTACAAATAGTATAACTATTTACATCGTAGTTCCACAGAATACTCTTGTTAAACCCTCTTATAATCTTAATTTTACAATTTCTAAAGGAAATTATTTAGATGTACGCGAGTAATTCAAAGGCGTCGTAATATTGTTTATTTATTCCAAAGGTTTTTTATTAAAAGTTGCAAAACGTTAACAAATGAGCCTTTTGTAAAGGGTTGAGATGCTTTTAATATTCGGCAAGGAAGCAATCATCGCCATATCCGAAACCATTGTTGAATAAATGCTTTAATAAAAGTGGCTTGCTTGAGTCGCTGAAAAATAATAAGTTAAATCGGTTGGCAAGAAGAGGTTTAATAAGACAGTCAGTGGTCCGTACAGCTCATGTTGGAGCCAGTAATTAATTTCTTTTATAAACATCGTCTTTACAAATCCCATTTCCTACTGAGCCTTTAACAAAATTACTTAATTTTTGCGATTTTCCTTTGTTGTTACCCGAGATTCAACTGTGGATATTAATACATTATGTAGAGGATGTGGATCGAAAAGGATTAGATAACAAATTGAGCTAAATTTGTGTTATGAAAATAGCTACCCTCGGTTCTCAAAATACCCCGAACACTTTCAACAGAAGAGTGAGAGTGGCCATTGACCAATCAAATCCTCTGTCACTTGTAGGGCTGCAGACTCTGGGTTGATTAGTGTTTGTCTTACAACCCATTCAAATATACAAAGGGTCAACTCACAGACATCGTATTCTGTATGCTGAACTAACACAATTTTGATTATTGTGTGATTTCTGAAAAAAATCAACCTTTTAAAAATATGATCGTGAACGCTCCCAGTATTACAGTGAGTGCTAAAAGTCAGATATAAAATGTTCAGCTCGCTGTGGCTGTGATGTGATGTGTAGGTTAACTCTCGCAAGGTTTTTGCGTTGCAGCCGATGGTCGTCGATGACCGGTTTGATATGTATGACGTCACCACGACCTGCTCCTACTACGTAGAAACCTCACACGTACCCATTGCCGTTTCCTACATGTGTTTTGCATACCAAAATTTCCGTGATTTTATGCTTATGCCTTAAAATTATACAGTAGTAATATTTCAATTCCTAGAGATTTCCAGTGAAGTATAGGAAATTGATAATGTAAGATGTGTATTATTAGATGTATAAGATGTGTAAAGCAAACGTAATTACGTATTTTAGTATTTTGCAAAGTTTTAACTCACTCAATTTGGATTTATTTTACTAAGCCAGGTGGCCACTACGATGCAACATAGTAGTTAGGCCACGAGACACATTTAATTGGACATATACTGTGCTTCTTGTTGCCACGGCTACGTCACAACAGGTGGCTAAACTATGCAACCTTGTTGCGAATATAGAGTTGCTGCTGTATTTGTTGTCCTCAGGTTGTACAGTAGTAGTAAGACCACGAGACACAGTTTATTGGACATACTGTACTTCTTGTTGCCACGGCTACGTCACAACAGGTGGCTAAACTATGCAACCTTGTTGCGAATATAGAGTTGCTGCTGTATTTGTCGTCCTCAGATACTTGTAGAATAGTACTGTAGTAGTTAGGCCACGAGACACAGTTTATTGGACATACTGTGCTTCTTGTTGCCACGGCTACGTCACAACAGGTGGCTAAACTATGCAACCTTGTTGCGAATATAGAGTTGCTGCTGTATTTGTTGTCCTCAGGTTGTACAGTAGTAGTAAGACCACGAGACACAGTTTATTGGACATACTGTACTTCTTGTTGCCACGGCTACGTCACAACAGGTGGCTAAACTATGCAACCTTGTTGCGAATATAGAGTTGCTGCTGTATTTGTCGTCCTCAGATACTTGTAGAATAGTACTGTAGTAGTTAGGCCACGAGACACAGTTTATTGGACATACTGTGCTTCTTGTTGCCACGGCTACGTCACAACAGGTGGCTAAACTATGCAACCTTGTTGCGAATATAGAGTTGCTGCTGTATTTGTTGTCCTCAGGTTGTACAGTAGTAGGGTAGTAGTAAGGCCACGAGACACAGTTTATTGGACATACTGTGCTTCTTGTTGCCATGGCTACGTCACAACAGGTGGCTAAACTATGCAACATTGTTGCGAATATAGAGTTGCTGCTGTATTTGTTGTCCTCAGGTTGTACAGTAGTAGTAAGGCCACGAGACACAGTTTATTGGACATACTGTACTTCTTGTTGCCACGGCTACGTCACAACAGGTGGCTAAACTATGCAACCTTGTTGCGAATATAGAGTTGCTGCTGTATTTGTCGTCCTCAGATACTTGTAGAATAGTACTGTAGTAGTTAGGCCACGAGACACAGTTTATTGGACATATTGTGTTTCTTGTTGCCATGGCTACGTCACAACAGGTGGCTACACGATGCGACCATGCAACTGTGCCACAAGTGCATGGTGCAGCTGTATTTGTTGTCTTGGCAGCAACCCACAATGTTCTCTTTTGTTGTGGTAGGTCACGATGTCAACCCCTCATTATGAATCTTTTATTTTAATAGATTCAAGCAATAGATTGAGTTTAATAGTTCCTGGATTTCCGAACCTCAAACGTTAG